ATAAGGTTTTTTCGAGTAAGCTAGATAGGAACAAATGAAAAAGGAATATGAAAAATTTCCTCCCCCATATAAATGACCGTTGATATTATTATTAGTCAGGAAGATCAAAAACTCATTTCCGTATGAGACTGGCTCTGTAGGCCCATTTGGACGAAATCTTAAAACTTCTGATTGCCTTGTTCTGTTCTACTGGTCAAAGAGGACCAAACCCGATTTCATTTCTCCAAGACATCAATAGTTGTGTAACAGCCTATAATTGCATCCACCTGGAGATCGTTTGCAGTATTTTTCGGCGTGTTTCAAGTAGATTACCATTTACTTTAGGGGATATATAAGGCTATTAACGAGACATCCAACACAAACTACAGCAAGATCATGGCATCAACAAGAATGCCTTGAAGACTACTAGTTCCGGTTGAAGAAAAGTCACACATCAGGATGTTCAGGAAAAACGAACTCATTCATAGCAAGTAGTTCAAAAGACGGGTTATGCATAATCTTTTGATGCCGGAAAGCAAACATTTCAGCATCATCCGCTGCGCAGACTTAGAGCCCCAAATCGCGCAAGACAGCGTATATATTTGTTAAAAGCAGATTTCTCTGCAATACTCTCCAAGTTGCACGAAACCTGTCATACAAGTTTGTGCGCAGCTGCGGCGGTAACCGCAGGTGTCGGCCTACATTTCTTACCTTACATTAACTTTATTACCGAAAAATAGCTTTTTCTGTTTTATCAGGAGCATAAAGTACAAAACTCATACATCATCGTTGATGAGGTGCATAATGGATCACGTTATGGACAAAGTTGCACGACACTTCTGACTAGATACTACCTCTGCTGCAAATAGGCCAAACGTATAAAAACAATCTGAATTTAAACTGCTGGTCTAAAGCAAACACTTTTAAAGGTATTTCTAATTTGGAGAAAAATAATGTTTTACGCATCCTTCTATCATTAAATATTTACTTTCGCTTTTTTTACTAGAAATAAGGACGAATTGTTTGCAGAATGCTAGTTCCGATAAAGACAAGGTAGACTGGAATGGACATTTCTGGCTTATTAGCTGTCGTCAGCCAGTCGTACTCAACCCCGAAGTGTGGAACATCTGGGACTCGAACTCGCATCCTGTTTGTTAGAAGTCGAACGCCTCTAACCACTGGGCCGCAGGCCCTTTGTCCTGTCGGTTTCGATCGGGAATATACAATGGTAGAGGGGCGCTCACCGATCGTTCTTACGGAACACACTCGTCCCGCGGTCTGCGGGACAAGTGTGTTCCCGCGGCACGCGAGGAGTTTAAAGGTCAAATTATGATGAAATGATGTTTAAAGGTTAAAATCTGTGAAAGCGTCATCGATCATTCACCGTTTCGCTCTTAACAACTACTTTGGTCCTGTAAAACCAAAACATTATGGATGATGTTTGGTGAGACTCCGTCGTGAATTGGTTAGGCTCTGAAACGATACTGATTCCAAAGTAAAATTATTATTTAAAAATACGAAAAATTTTAATTACAAATTTTTTGGAAATTATGGCTATCAGCTTGACATTTACGGCTTCGATGCTACTAAATTCTGAGAGCCAGGTGACCTTAAAAAAGATGCGCAGTACAAATATTCAGATCAGCTATGGGACCCTTGTTCTTCAGTCAATTATAAGACCATGATTAGCGCGTGAAGAAGTCTTAACTTAAACCCTTGTCTAAGATACGATATGTGATTAGTTTAAACCAAGCATAATTCTACAATTAAGTGATGTTTAGCGTTCAGTTATTTGTGGATATTTTACAATTGCATGAAAACAAGTTCGTCTCAGCAGGTAACTAGCATAAGCTTTTGTATAGCTGGGATTCCAATTGTGTGTTGAACGTTTTCCTTCAGTTTAAAGTCTCAGAGATGAATTTTTATTTTGTCTGGAGGCGCCCTATTTCAGTGGGTTTATGCTACTAATCTTCATGCTATTTTATGCATTAATGACCGACATTTAAATGTCCGACTTAAGTTATTGCACTGATGGCTGCGTCTACAAGCAATTGCTTGTAAAATAAATTGGGTGGGTCAGGAAGTTCCTACTTTGGGCGTAATCGGGATCGATTTGCTATAATGAGTAGTGGCTCGATAGCTAATGCATGTCCGCCGATGGTTTCGATACCGAGGAACGGAAAATGGTAAAGCGTTAAAAGGCGAGCTCTCCTACGCATTTTGTGGGAAATTAAGCCGACTGGGCCACATCCGCCGTTGCCACACCGTGGCTCAACCTTGTAGCCCAACCTAGCCCAATTGGGCCGAACTGGGCTGGGTTGGACTGATGTTGGCAGGGTTATGACATTGGGACGAAGAAAACATCCTGTTCTAGTCAAATAATTCGCTGCCGAGCACGATGCATTTATCATTAGATTGTCCAAAAAAACATGCATCCCATACAATTTTCTTCGTCTGTCGAGTGCAACAAATCCATATAAATCCATATGCGTATTAATGCAAAAATGTGTAAATGTGTAGATATTTGCATGCGGCCTTTAAAATTATTTATGGTTTTTGTAAGGGAGTTATCATATCTTTGATCCTAATCTCGTTATTCTGAGAATAATATCGCAGTAAGAATCACGAACACAATTGCTCCTTTGCAATTTAAACACTAACTGCTAATTTATGTGAATTACTTCACATGGCCGCGTGTAATTCGAATAACTATTTTGTGGCTAAATTGCAAAATAGCAAGTATCATGCGGGCGGCAATAAATAAAACTCTCAAAAACGCATGGACAAAAGCGGATGTTTGGTTAACAGATGAAATACCTCGAAATGGTTTCGGTAATGACAAAGCCGAACATGATCCGGCAGAAATCGACGGTCAAAATTATCCTTCATCCAATCAACTGTGCACCAATAGAAATCAAAATTATCCTCCTCGCTTAAATATCCAAAAAAATTTCCTTACGCACTCAGTTCCTGCCAGCCTCGGTTTCTCAATACCTGCAGTATTGTATTTGAGAATGCACATTTAAATCGTATCGGTCTATCTAGGCTAGATGAGGTATAAATGTAAGGTTAACTTATTTTACAAATTTGAAACCGTTGGCTTCTTCGCACACGGTCGTCCTGTTGCCTAAAAGGTTATCAGCATTACAGGAAGCAGCTGTCACCTTGTTCTTTGCCATGAAAAATGTTTGACTTTCGCTCGCCTAACTTTGTTGTGGTATCGCTCACTAAAACAGCCCAAGGCCGTCTTTTTAGGCGCAGAACAAAATACAGAATTCGATTTCCCACGGGAGTGAAAAGTTGCAACAGGTCGTTTCAAAAGCGTGTTTCTTCACTATGTGAACCGTTAGATGACAGTCGGCGTGGAAGTTGTTCAGGGTTGCATGAGACCTAGTCGATTAGTTCAATAAAGCCGTAATACATAATGAAGCCAGTCGGTCTGAGAAAAGGAGACAAGTGTTGATTTGAAAATTCG